GGGAGGAGTTGACCGGGCGTTGACCAGAGCGTTGACCAGAGGGTTGACCAAGGGTTGACCAGGCGTTGACCAAGGGTGTTGACCAAGCGTTGACTGGGGGTTGCCCGCGTTGGCTCGGCGTTGACCAAGGCGTTGACCGAAGCTGCTGCTGACCAAAATTTTGACCAAGCTGGAGTTGGTGATACCTCGTTGACCCCTCAGCCTATCCCCTTACCCTGTAGGTGTGCACACCCCTATGGTACTTGCTGAGTTAAGTCTGTCTGTCTTCCTTTCTGGATTGAGTCTCTTTTGTCCTAGGTGTTAGGACTCTGTGGATGAAGGATAGGGCCTTGCTGCCAAACCTGCACGGGACTTATTAGGACCAAAGCTCTACTCTGGCACTTGGAGACCTGGGCATGAGCGGCGAGCGCTCGTTAAACAACTCGTCTAGCCCAATGACCGGTACTGTCCGGCAGGTCTACTGAGTTCAGTGTAGAGGGTCTGAACTCCGAGCTGTGGGCTGAAACGAAGGCCGTCTGTAAGTGTTGAGGCCTGGTTGAACCACTCCCCTACCGGACCTAGTAAGGTTGATGATCTGTGTCTGACGACTCGACTGTCCCGAGGGATACGAACCCCTCCAAGGACCGGTACAGACCGGCGGGCTGCTCGGTGTGGCACAGTAGGCTGGAACGACTGAGTTGTGGGCTGAAATCGCCAGGAAGAACTACACTGATCACGTCGTCCTGACTGCGACGTTAAAAAATTCTTGAGGAGTTTGAAGGATCTCCATAAATGCCTCCTGATCAGCTATTAGTTTAGTAGTGACAACCTTATAGTAGTTGTGAGTAGTGGATCTTAGAAAGTCAGTCAGTAGGTTAGTGTGTCCGGGTAGGTCCAAGTGGTGAGGAGTGGGACGTTGTCGTACACCAACACCACGATGGATGACTATCCGATGTATGGGTTGCTGGTTGGGTTCTCTCTCTGGGGGACCCTCTGGCGTCTCCTCTTTCCTTTGGTTTTCTGGCCCACTTTTACGTGTAGAGTAGGGCCTACTCGTGGTGGTACTTCTACCAACCCCTACACGAAGAAGGAGGAGGAGAAGATGGCCGCCATCCTACAGGAGAGAAAGGAGAAGAACATGCGGCCAAACTGAAGAAGATGGAAGAAGAGATGGCCAGGGAGAAAGAGAGGTTGAAGAAGGAAGAAGAAGAAAAGATGAAGGCGGTGGATGAAGAAAAGGAAGGTCTGCCACTGCAAAAGAGTAGTGGGCAGTCCAGTAGCAGTAATGGTGGGGACCTGAAGAAGAGGATATCCGAATGGGTTGCCAATCTGTCTGTGGGAGAAGAGGAAGAAGTCAGCATGTATATCCCGCAGGATCAGCAAGAGGCTGCCATGAGGGCTTGGGATGCAGAGAAAGATCCCCTCAGATGACAGGCGTTGGAAGACGATAAGAGGATGGAGTGGAAATTAGCAGTGATGAGGGAGAAGAAGAGGAGAGTTGACAGGGCAGCGGAGTCGGCGGAAGAATTAGAGGAGGTGAAAAAGCTAGAAGAGCACGTAGCCGCCCAGACTGAACTCCCAGCCTAGATGCGAGTCATAGCTCGAAGCGTTGCACGCCTGACACAGATTCAGACGGACCAATATGAGTTTAGTAGGAGCCAACACATAGTTGTGCGCTCGATAAAGTTGGGCTTTCGGGACTTCGCTCGTGAGTTGGTAGGCGCTGTTGGAGCCGAGGTGGGGCACCGCCTCGACAAGACCGAACGGTTTTGTGCTGGCGCCATTGAGGGCGTCAAGGCAGCAACCCCCAAGGAGGAGGAAGCACATCCTCCTCACCGAGAACCAGTCAAGGTCAAATTCCCTGATTCCTACAACGGAAAAAGGGAAGAGAACTTTGACAATTGGGAAGCTAACGTTAAGACCTATGTGCACTTGCAACAGGTCTCCCCGGATCAACAGGTTTTGATTGCGATTCACACGCTGAGAGATGAGGCCGCCAGTTTCGCAAGGTCCCTAGTGCGGGCTGCCAACTGTAGTGATGATCCCGTTGCGTACTCCTCATTTACGTCCCTCACCGAATTCCTGAAGTTGCTGCGCGAGCGATTTGCTGATGTCGCTCGCAGTGTCAAGGCCTCAGACAAGCTCCAAACCATCCATTCTCGTAAATGGAAGAGTGCCAGGACACTCAARGGTACAATGGATGAGTTGGTGGCYGTCCCTRACCAYGGGGTCACAGAGGGCCAGTTGGTCAAYCTCTTTTACCGGGCTATGCCCGAAGCCTTTCGAGGGCAGTTCTTCGCGAAGAGCGAAGACCCTGCCACCACTTACGATTCCCTTAGCCGTGAGGTGGTGGCTTTTGAAGCGAAGTCAGTGTCCCTGTCTACCTTCCGGCATAAGGATTTGGACAAGGGAAAGCAATGGAAAGGCCGCACTATCTCATGGCAGGTAAAGACCAAGGATAGTCTTGTCCTAACTCTAGACGAGGGTAGTGTGGATGAGATCCCCTACGATCAAATTGAGTGAGGATTAGAGGAGGAGAACAGCAGTGTGGGCCAGGGGAGATCCTACGCTGCTATCGCGGCTGGAGGGAGGCCGCAAGGAGGAAGAGGCCAGGGCCAAGGGGGCCGGGCCTCAGGGAGCCGATCCCAGGGCGATCAGGGGGTTGGCGACAGAGGAGGAAACCGCCAAGCAGGAGGCAGGGGTCAAGGACCCCCACAAAACCGTCCTAGGAATAGGTCTCCCTACAGGGTAGGAGGATGGCACCCAGGGCTACCGCAGGGTAGACCTTGGGAATCTTTGGGTCTGGACCGGGCTTTATGGCAACAACGATTGGACCGGGGCCAGCGCATTTTCTGCGGGGACCTGGGCCACATCATCAAATATTGTCCTAAGTACAGAGAGACCCGAACGGCTGCCCAAGGGTCAAAAGGCAGCCGCCGGTAGGGGTAGCAATTGCCCCTACCACTAGGCCATGTGGGGAAAATAGCGCTAGCCGGCAGGAGACTCCCACACCACATGTACCTATGGCAGAGGTTGCAGGCCGGTGTCTAGACAGCTGTCCCGAAACTGCTTGTGTTAGAGTTCTGCTAGACACCTCCCTCACAGGCGTGGTCGAAGAGTTGAAGGAGAGGATGCCCGCCTTGGCCAAGATGAAGAAGGAGAATAAAGGGCAGCTTATATTGCTAGATACAGAGRTTTTTAGAAGTAGAGTAGGGGCCCTAGTAGACTCAGGGGTCACTCGCAGCTATATTAGTAGGAAAGCGCTGTAGAAGTTGAGGCTGAGACTTAAAGTCCAGAAACTGATTTACCCCATAGTTAGTATCCTCGCGGACAACTGTACCATGGTTGTAGAGGATTATGTAGAGGGAGTCCAGGCGTATTTCCGCCTAGAGAAGGATGGGAAAGTGGAGAAGGTTCTCCACTCCCTGACTCTCATCGTAGAAGACAGCCTCCCATTTGATATTGTGTTGGGAATGGATTGGGGAGTGGCAGTCGGGGCCACGCTCCATTTGAAGGAGCACGAGTGTAGGCTCCCTAGTTCTGCGGGCGAGGCTAAGACTGCCCGCTTGTTCCATGTGTCAGGAGTAGAGAATTCCTTGGCGCATTCCTGCCTTAGTGCCCCCGCGTTCGCCAGATTGGTGAAAAAGGAAAAACTGGAGGAACACGTTTTTGTTGCCTATGTTAGGCCAGTGAATGAGCCTACGAAGGAGAAGCTGATGGACCCTGCGATTGCCAAGCTGCTGGAAGAGTTTAGAGATTTGACTGAGCCGCCGACAGGCACGGTGCCGCGGCCCATCCAGCACCGTATTGAGATAGAGCCTAGCAGTAGAACTCCTAAGGGTGCGGTGTACAGGATGTCCCCGATGGAGTTAGAGGAGTTTCGCAAGCAGTTAGACGAGCTCCTCGAGAAGGGTTGGATTAGGCCCAGTTCGTCTCCTTTCGGAGCGCCTGTCCTCTTTGTTCCTAAGAAAGAGGGAGAGCTGAGAATGTGCAGAGACTATAGGGGTCTGAATGCTATTACGGTAAAGAGTGCTTAGCCACTGCCGAGGGTAGACGATCTCTTAGATCGAGTGCAGGGGGCCAAGTATTTCTCTAAGATAGATTTAAAGTCCGGATATCATCAAATAGAGGTACATCCTGATGATCAGTATAAAACAGCTTTCTGGACTAGGTACGAGCATTATGAGTTTATAATGATGCCCTTTGGACTAACCAATGCTCCAGCTACGTTCCAGCGCTGTATGAACGATTTGTTTAGACCGTGGTTAGATAGATTTGTTATAGTCTACCAAGATGATATTCTAGTGTTTAGAAGGACCCTTGAAGAGCATCAGGGTCATCTCAGGCAGGTCTTGGAGAAACTGAGCGAAGCTAACTTCAAGATCAATGCGAAGAAGTGCGATTGGGCGAAGACCCAAGTTTTGTATTTAGGCCACGTCTTAGACGGAGACGGCGTTAAGCCAGAAGATAGCAAGATCTCAGCGATTAGAGATTGACCCACGCCACGTACGCTGACAATGTTGCGCTTGTTCCTGGGCTTAACTAATTACTATAGGAAGTTCGTGAGGAACTTCTCCACCATCGCTGCGCCCCTTCGCAGATTGCTGAGGAAAGAGACAATCTGGAAGTGGGACAAGGACTGCACATCTGCCATGAAGAAGCTCAAGCAGGCATTGATAGAATATCCAGTCCTTAAAGTCGTCGATCCGTCTTTGCCTTTTGTCGTCACGACCGATGCGAGTCAATACGACATAGGTGCAGTGTTACAGCAAGACGATGGCAATGGGTATAGACCCGTAGAGTTCATGTCCGCTAGAATGCCTTAAGAGAAGGTTGCGACATCTACCTATGAGAGGGAACTCTACGCTCTCAGGCAAGCCTTAGACCACTGGAAGCACTACTTGCTTGGGAGACACTTCAAAGTCTATTCAGACCATGAAACGTTACGATGGTTAAAGACGCAGGCCAAGATGACACCTAAGCTTACTAGGTGGGCCGCAGAGATAGATCAGTACGACTTTGAGCCCAAGCCTGTCAAAGGGAAGTATAACGTAGTTGCGGACGCTCTGAGTAGGAGGGCAGATTACTTTGGGGCGATAGTGCATTACCTCGATATAGGGAAGGACCTACAGCAGAAGGTTAGGGAAGCTTACGCGCAGGACCCTATCTATAGTGAGCTCCTTAAGAGAGTCAGAAAGGCCCCAGAAAACGAACCGAACTACTACACTACTGAAGGGTTACTTTTTGAGAAGACTAATGTGTTTGACCGCCTGTGCATCCCCAATAGCGAAGAGATTCGTAGTCTGATTTTGGGGGAATGCCACGACATGGAGGGTCATTTTGGCTGGCAAAAGACTTTAGCCAATCTAATGTGCGCGTATACCTAGCCAGGGATGAAGAATGACTGCGTAGAGTATGTTCGCAGTTGTAAGGTTTGCCAGCGTAACAAGAGTTCTACGTGCGCCCCACTAGGTCTTCTCAGACCCTTGCCCATTCCGGACCAGCCGGGGGACTCAGTGTCCATCGACTTCATGGACACTCAAGTCAAGAGCAGGCATGGCAAGAGCCAAGTCATGGTCATAGTTGACCGATTTAGTAAATACGCAGTTTTTGTTCCTTTGCCTTCAGAGGCACGAACCGATTTAGCCATACAAAGATTCTTTGACTGTTGGGTTAGTGAGAACGGAATCCCGCTGTCAATAGTTAGCGATAGAGATAGTTGCTTCACTAGCCAAAACTGGCAAGAACTCATGGGAGTGTATGGATCTAAGTTGTTGATGTCGTTCGGCCGCCATCCTGAGACTAACGGTCAGACAGAACAAATGAACAAGATCCTACAGCAAGTTCTGTGCATGTACATTAGACCAGATCAGATTAACTGGGATGAGATGTTGCCCAAAGTAGCTAGTGCGTACAATAACAGCGTGCATTTGTCTACATGCCGCACTCCCAACGAACTGCACAAGTCCTTTCGACCGCGTAGACCGTTCGAGGGACTCAACCGGGATCAGATTCACGGATTGCCGCCCGGGACCAGGGAGTTTGCTGTACAGCACGAGAAAGAACTAGCTACCGTGGTAGAAAACCTCAGGAAAGCCCAGCATAGGATGATAGAGCAAGCGAACAAATATCGTGGCCCCTCGCAGTTCCAGGTGGGCGACTTAGTCTGGGTCAGTTCTAAAGAGTTTGCACCTGAGGAGAACATCTCACAGAAGTTACTGCCCACATATAGAGGACCGTGGCCCGTCCTAGAAGTCAAGGGCGGTGAAGATGGACCGTCCTATTCCATAGAACTACCAGCGCACCTCCACACTTACCCAGTTTTTCATGCGTCGAAATTGTTATCTTGCCAAACTAGTGATCAGTTTCCATCTCGTAGGTCTATGATCCCACCAGATATGGATGGAAGGTACGACATCGATGGCATAGTAGTTGAAGATGTATTCAGGACTGGAGGTAGAGGTCGTCCCCAGAAACAGTACAAGGTTCATTTTAGCTACCAAGAACCGGAAGACGACCGCTGGTTTACTAGATCTGAACTTCTAGAGACAGCTCCCGATATAGTTCGGGCCTACGAAAGGCAGCAAAGGGGTAAAGGTCCTGCCTTGGACTGAAATTTTCTCGGAGGACCTCGAATTTAGGCCGGCGGGAGTGAAACGGTATTCACCAGTTCGCAGTAGCGAATGCAGATCCCAGGGCTCGATCCCTAGTTCCCCGTCTTACCTGTGTACAATATTGATGTCAACCGATAGATTTGAACCTGCGACCTGTAGGAACGCCAGTGGTAGGTAGATTGTCGTAGAGCACAGGATAGAAGGGAATCGAACTGTAGACCTGTAGAGTAGAAGTCTAGACAGTTCCGAAGTCGTAGCTGTAGACTGCCTGAAGGGTCAAGGTTGTAGCTGCTACTTACCTGAAAGGGCAAAGTCGTAGCTACTACAGTACCGAAAGGCCAACTTAGAGAGTTATAGAAGTGGCCTTTCGGAGTCAACCCCTGTTAAGTCGAGGCAAGTGGACAAGTGGTGGTAGTCCACCTAGCCCAGTCAGCAGTCCCAGGTAGCCCAGGCCGGTCCAGTTAAGCAAGTACCGTCTGGGACTGTGCACATCGTGGGCCAAGGGATACAGGGCAGACCAACGCAGCGCAGAAGTATAAATCAAGAGGTTGTGTCCAACCATTCATTCATTCCTGCGGATGCCATGCGGAAGCGCTGCCTCAGCAGCTTGTGCGAGGACTGTCTCTTATACACATCTAGATGTGTATAAGAGACAGGTCTGGGACTGTGCACATCGTGGGCCAAGGGATACAGGGCAGACCAACGCAGCGCAGAAGTATAAATCAAGAGGTTGTGTCCAACCATTCATTCATTCCTGCGGATGCCATGCGGAAGCGCTGCCTCAGCAGCTTGTGCGAGGAGGTCTGCAGTGTGCCCGAAGACGAAGTGGGCAGAGAAGTGTAGTGTAGCGATAGGGTGGTGGCAGCTAGCGCTGTCATAGCCATAGCCTAGTGTGTGTGTGTTATGTATGAACACTGAGTGTTGCGTGTGGGACATCCAGGGTGATCTCGAGTGTGAACAGGAGTTGTATGGGCGCACAGTTGCCATAGCCAGTTGGAAGAGAATTCATATCTGGTTACGGTATCTTTGACTACTGTGTGGGCGCATGTCGCCAGTTTGCTGTATCTCTGTTTGCAAGCATGATGAAGTGTGAATAAGTCGGGTATGATTGCAAATCGACCAATCAATCAATTATTCCAACTTTTACCAATCAACCAACAGACCGATTAAGCAATCGATTGATCGATCAATCAATCCATCGATTAAATTTATCGATGAACTATTTTCGATCAATCTGCTGGTCAAGCGATCAATCGGTTGTTTAACATTTGAAGGAAGGTTCACAGATAATGTGGAAGGAAAACACCGAACCACTACATAAATCATAGATCTAGTATCATATTCAACCTGCCTTACGTATCAATCAAACCTAATCATCAATGCGACCGACCAATCCACCTACGGATCCTTTTGCAAAAAAAAAAGGGGGGGGGGGGAAAGAAGGGAAGAAGGGAAAAGAAGGAGGGGGGGGAGGAAGGAGGCGAAGGAAGACCGAAGGGAAAAAGATCAACATGCCTGACTTGCAACCCTGCTCGGTTAGACGACTGATCGACCATTACAACCCCGTTGTCGGGGCAAAAACCATGACAAGGGTATCTGCCTGGTGTTTTTAAATATCGGACGATGTCTGACTTACTAAAGGGTTATCCGGGCTTCATAACTTGATGAGATAAGTTATCTGCCAAAAGTATATTCAAATCTAAACCACAACTGAGAGGTTACGACCATGTTTTAAAAGAGGTTTGACGTCCGACCGAAAAGGCCGGATAATGATAGTGCAACCACGATGTCCTCAACCTTCATTGAGAACGCAGAGGCATGCGATCGACAGAGACTTATGACCAGACCGACCTTACCTAAAGGATGTTGCGCGGTGTAGGGCGCACATTTTTTGGTCCAGGTGAGTTATACATGGTGGTCGTTTCATATATGTGATCATGACATGCGTGCCTTGGAACAGGGCGGCTGCCGTGTTGACGACAGCGCGACCGAGGTTGCAAAAGGGGGCAGGCGAGCGACCTACTTGGCTGCAACCCTTCATATAGGAGGGCTGTTGGTTTTGATCCATGATAATAAACAATAAAGCATCTTTTTTGTTGTGATCGTAGCCCAATACAAGGCATTATAACATTAGTGTGAGTATGAGGTGAGTGAGGCAGTTGATGCCTCACGTGAGATTTGCCCTGCTTCGCTGGCAAGGCACCTGGGAAAAAAAAAAAAAAAAAAAACTGGGTTCAAAGCTTCGAAGGGGAAAATTTTTATTTTCTTGTTTTTTTGGTTCGTGCCAATATTTTTTTTATGGTCGAAATAATTTTTTCTGACTTTGAAATATTTGTTGTGGATGCGTGGGTACCTAATCCACGCGGTAGAATGTTTTCATATTTTTTTATATAGCGAATTCTTAATTAAAAATCGTCAAAATTCGGGTACTTTTTGGTACCCCCACTTGATTGTCATGGGGTTCGAACTTGGGACTGCCTTTTAGCAGGTGGGGTGGCTCAACGGGCACTGCTG